CCTCTCCTCACCTCTCCCCCCACCTCTCCTCACCTCTCCCCCACCTCTCCTCACCTCTTCCCCACACTGCTCCTTACCTCCCTTTCCTCTCTCGCCAGCCTAGAGCCCTTCCTCTACGGTCTGCACGCCCTGTTTAAGGGGGACTTCCGCATCACTTCACCGCGCGACGAGTGGGTCTTTGCCGATATGGATCTGCTTCACCGTGTGGTGGCACCTGGGGTTCGCATGGCACTCAAGCTACACCAGGTGGGAGTGGTGGGCCCAGGCAGGGTGGGCAGGTGGGGGATGAAGCACCTCTACCAGGGCAGGGGCTGCTGATCTGGACCTTCCACTCTCCCACCAGGACCACTTCACATCCCCAGATGAGTACGAGGAGCCTGCGGCCCTGTATGATGCCATCGCGGCCAATGAGGAGCGGCTGGTCATCTCGCATGAGGGTGACCCAGCCTGGCGCAGTGCCATCCTCAGCAACACGCCCTCCCTGCTGGCACTGCGCCACGTCATGGATGATGCCTCCGATGAGTACAAGATCATCATGCTCAACCGGCGCCACCTTAGCTTCCGGGTCATCAAGGTGGGCCTGGCTCCACCCATGCTGACCTGGGTCGTCCTCCTGGTGCTGCCACTCTGACCCTTGCGTGTGGCACCCGCAGGTGAACCGCGAGTGCGTGCGTGGCCTGTGGGCCGGGCAGCAGCAGGAGCTGGTGTTCCTGCGCAACCGCAACCCTGAGCGCGGCAGCATCCAGAATGCCAAGCAGGCACTCCGCAACATGATCAACTCCTCCTGCGACCAGCCGCTGGGCTACCCCATCTACGTGTCACCCCTGACCACTTCACTGGCCGACAGCCACCCCCAGCTGCGGGCCCTATGGGGTGGCCCTGTCAGCCTGGGTGCCATCGCCCGCTGGCTCCTGCGCAGCTGGGAGAGGTGAGCCCTGACCACCGGCCTTTAGCCCATGAGACGGCATGAAGGTGCACTGGGTGCACAGAGGAGGGAGCCGGGGCTCACAGAGGTGGAGCGGCTCCCTCCTGGGTCTCAGGGAGGAAGTGCTGGAGTCAGGATTTGAACCTATATCTTTGGTGTGACTGTGACGATGCCCCCTTCAAAAGGCCCTGCAATGTAGGCAGCAGAATGCCTTAGAGATGAGACCCTGGTGGGGCTGGGGACTTGTGCCTGTGAGGTCTCTGGCCTCAGCCACGTCCCCCTCCAACCTCTTCTTTGCCTCCCCACCCCCAGGCTTCATAAGGGCTGTGGGGCCGGTTGCAATAGTGGCGGGAACGTGGATGACTCAGACTGTGGTGGGGGCGGCGGCGGCGGCTTGACCTCCCTCAGCAATAACCCCCCCTTGGCACACCCCACACCTGAGAACACAGCAGGTGAGCAGGCGCGGCTGGGCTGAACCCGTGGGTGAGGAGGATGGCCCGGTTGAGGTCTCTGCCCTCTTATCTGTCTCCCACAGGCAGTGGTGATCAACCTCTCCCACCAGGCCCTGCTTGGGGGCCACGGCCTTCCTTGACTGGCTCCGGTGACGGGCGCCCCCCCCCTCTGCTGCAGTGGCCACCCCCTCGGCTCCCTGGACCGCCCCCTGCCTCCCCTGCCCCCACCGAGGGTCCCCGGCCCTCATGGCCCCCTGTCCCTGGTCTCCTCAGTTCTGAGGGCCCCAGTGGGAAGTGGAGCCTGGGGGGTCGGAAGGGGCTAGGGGGATCTGATGGGGAGCCAGCCTCAGGGAGCCCCAAAGGAGGTACCACCAAATCTCAGGTAAGGAGCTTGTGGGAGGCAGGGTCCTGGGCAGCTCAGGTCTGCTCTCTTGCCAACCCATCTCCCATACGCCAGGTGCCCCTGGACCTCAGCCTCCCCCCAGATGTCAGCACCGACACCTCACCCCCCAGAGCAGCCCAGGACATTCCCTGCTTGGACAGCACTGCCCCTGAGAATGACAGCCCCACAGGGGCCTTGGGCGACTGGCCTGCCCCCGCCGAGGAACGCGAGAGCCCTGCTGCCCAGCCCTTGCTGGAGCACCAGTACTGAGCGGCTGGCGCCCGCTGGACCTCATCCCAGGAGTCCGTGACTTAGCCCGGCCTCCGGCCCTCTCTGCTGGACCACAGAGTTCAGTGGCTTTGGCTCCCACATCTGAACCTTGACCTCTGGCTGCCTCAGCCAGAGCTCTAGAACTGAGTGGCCCTGACTTCTGACCTTGACCCCTGGTCTCTTATCCCTAGTCCAGGGCCTGGGCTCCCCAGACTGAGGTAGTCAGCATCCCAGCCAGGCCCTAAGAGCCAAGCCCATGGGCTGGTCCCGTTTGGAGCCCGTGGCCAGGACTGACTCGCCCTGTGCCTGCACTGCCGCTGGCTTGGCCCCCTGGGCCTGGACCTGGGTCTGAAATGTGGGAAGGGTGGTTTCTTTTCTTTTTTTTTTTTTTTTTGGTCATTTTTTTTCTTTTTCTCTCGTGCTTCGGAGACACCAGAATTAATAACACTATTTTTGATTTTGGTTGGCAGTTTCTTCTGTCTGGGAATGGTTTGGGGGAGGGGAGGAGAGGTGGCCAAGTCGGGGGATGAGCACAGAGGGGGTTGAAGGATGGGTTTTGGGGTATCATGGAAATCAAGGTCAGACCAAGAATGGGGTTCAGATAGGCCTAGGTCCCCTTCCCCAAAAGCCCATTCCCTTTCTCAGACCTTCCCTAAAGGCAGTTTTGCTCAGTCACCTACCCCTTACGTGTCCAAAGACTTCCAGTTCCTGTTGTTCTTACATTTATAGCCTTGACCTTGGTCAAACCCTTTCAGTGAGCCTCACTTTCTTCGACTGCAAAGAGATGACAAGGGCCCAAGGTTTTACCAATAGATGAGGCAGTGAGTGTGGAGCGGTTACCCAGGGCCCAGGGCTTGGCGAGTGCTCCTCGGCACCTGCTGTATGTCTGTGGTGCAGGGGTGGACGCTAGGTGGCCTCTGCTGGCCCTCCCAGCTGGCCTGGAAGGAGGTACATGTGTACTTGTTCCCATTTCCCAGCCAAGGACTGCCCAAGAGTCAGCACAGCCGCTGGAGGCCTGACAGCTCGCCTCGGCTGGCCCCCTCCAGTGGGGCGCTCTGAGCGGGGTGTCCAGTAAGTCGTGCCGGCCCCCCGTGACTGTCCTCCGCCAGAATTGGGTCCCCGCCTGCTGAGCTTCCCGCCTGGCCGGCCCCGCCCCTCCGCTGCGGTCCCGCCCACGGCAGGTCCCGCCCGCAGGCGGATCCGGCGCCCCGAGCGGCCGCGGGAGAGCCGGCAGCGCGGGGAGCCCAGCGCGGGAGGTGGCGGCCAGCGGAAGCCGCGGAGGTACCGGCGGGAGTGGGGGACGGGAGGCACCGCGGCCGGGCTGGACAGGGGGGGAGGTGGCCTGGCGGTGGGCAGGGCACTGTGTGGGTGGGTGAAGGGAGTCTTCGCCGCCTGCACTCTCCGTGGGGGTCTCAGCTCCAGTCCTGGGCCAGCACTTTCAGTGCCCTGCCTCCGGCCAGTGGCGTCCACTCCCTCCTCGGCGTGACGGTCCAGGCAGGCCGGTGTGCGGGTGAGTGGACGCGGCGGCTCCTCCCAGCGGCACTTTCGGCTGCCCCCGCTTCGGGGATATGCAGGGCTGCCCCCCTCCCGGGCAGCCTCCTCCTCAGCCTTTGCACACCGCCCCGGAATCCCGGCCGGCCTGGGAGGAAACATCTGTCGCGCCCCCTGGCAGCAGAAACGGGGTCATGACCTCCAGATGTGCTGGGAAGTGTCCAGTGCCGCCTCCTGGGGAGAAAGCCCTTCCGGATCTGTGGGGGCGGGGCCGAACCCCTCCTCCTCAGTGACACAGGCCTGGAGGAATGTCCTGGCCTCAATGGGCCCTGTGTGAAGCTGCGGGGTGGGGGGCAGAGCTCAAGAACACCCCCAAGGCAGGACCAGAGCCCAGGCGAAGCCAGAGCAATAGGCAGCCAGTGGTTGACACACACACTGAGCTCAATGATGTGGACAAAGCTCAGCCCCTCCTCATGCTTGCCATCACACACCCAGCACACCCCCCAGCCCAGGCCCAGCCTACATGTGCACAGAGCTTGGTACATGGAGGGAGCCAGCCTGCATCCACCACACAGGCTTAACACATGGCTGGCATCGCTCACTTCACCCTCTTCAATCTCCCAGCAGCCTTAGAGGAGACAGGAATTGTAAACCTCATTTTAGAGATGAGAAAACTGAGGCCCAGGGTCAGGGTCAGAGCTTGTCTTAGGAGCAACTAAGGGAGAAGTTCCTCTGAGCTTTGGAGACTTGCCCCTTGCCCCCACCCCCTTCTGGCTCACTGATTCAGCCCCACATGATATCCTGTATCAGGTGCCCGCACCCCCAGTGGAGGGTCCCATGGCCCTGCCCCAGCTGCCCACTCCATCCTGGGTTCACCTGGGGGTGGCTCCCCGGCATGTTCTCACACCACCTTTGCACCTGCCCCTGGCCTCGCCACATTTCCGCACTTAGCAGGTCTCTGGGGCCTTGGGTGTCTCAGTCTTACATCCTGTGAGACATTGAGCCTCAGCCCAACCCCCCACCCACCACACCTACACAGACAGGGACGGGAATAGACAGGTACAGCATGGTGCAGGCCCTGGGGATTGTCAGACCCCGGTTCAAATCCCAGTGCTGATGTGGAATTGCTTCAGGGAAGAGACCTCCTCCCTTGGACCTCAGTTTGAGCATATGTCACATGGGGTTCAAATCTCCCTGTCAGCATCAGTAAGCCAGGTGGGCAGAGGTCTCATGGCCCTGCCCAGCAAAGGGGTCTAGTCATCACAGCCCCCTCCCCTGCCCCTAGGTGTGGCCACAGTGGCCTGTCAGCAGTGGGCCTGAGCCTGTCCTTCAGGCCAGGGTGACTTGGGTTCCATGACTGAGCTGCTGTGACCCCAGCATCTTCCTCAGGATGTGGGGCCAGGCAGGGGGCTGGGCCCAGAGTTGGGGCCACTTCCTGTGCTGAAGGAAGTCCTCTTCCATCCCTGCTGGCACCCTCTGGGAACTCCTGTGGCCTTGAGGTATTGAGGCCATGAAGGCCAGAGTATTGAGACCCGACCTCTGGGTGTTCAGCTCCTCAGGGATTCTGGAGGAAATGGGAGGGGCAGGGAGGAAGGTCTCTGGGGACAGGACGTCCTCCCTTTGTCAAGCAGGCAAGACCCAGACCCCAGCAGCCCCATGGGTTTCCCGGCCCAGCCGAAACAGTCCTCTCTCCAACTCGGCCAGGCTTTGGTGCGACCCTCATTCTGGGCCCAGGACAAAGCCAAGATGTGTGAGTGGGAAAGAAGGACCACGGCAGCCCAGGGCTCCAGGACCCTCAGGGCCCAGAGCCCAGCAGCCTGGCCCTGCCAGCACTCAGAGGGGGAGGGGGCTGGGAACCTCTGCCCCAGCCAGACAAGGAAGTGGCCAGGAAAGCGGAAGCAGGCTTTGATGGTCGTGGAGGGGGCCGGAAGTCAACCCGGGTGGTGGAGGACCAGGCTGGGGACCTGGGTTCCTGTTTTCGCCCCAGGCCCCTGTGAGCAGCCCCCTCCTCCCTCAGGGCAGGAACTGCTGCCACCACCTTGGCCCGCCGGCTGGGCACCAAGAACCTGCACCCTCCAATGCGGCCCGGCCCCTGGAGAGCCAGGCCCGTGGCACGCCCATGTGGGCTGGCAGCGCGGGGACCCCTCGGCGGGGCCCAGCCCCGACGCCCACAGATGACCTCTTTGCCCGCAAGCTGCGCCAGCCAGCCCGGCCTCCACTGACCCCGCACACCTTCGAGCCGAGGCCGGCCCGGGGCCCGCTCCTGCGCAGCGGCAGTGATGCGGGCGAGGCCCGGCCCCCCACGCCAGCCAGCCCCCGGGCCCGGGCCCACAGCCATGAGGAGGCCAGCCGCCCTGCTGCGGCCCCCACCAGGCTCTTCATGGACCCACTGGCGCTGCTGGGACTGCCAGCGGAGGAGCCGGAGCCCGCCTTCCCGTCCGTGCCTGAGCCCCGTTGGTTCGCCCACTACGATGTGCAGAGCCTGCTCTTTGACTGGGTGCCAAGGCCATGGGGTCTGGGGTCCCACACGGAGGTCGTCCCTGGTACCCCGGCCTCCACCGAGGATGGGGCCGCCAGCTCGGACCTGCTGCTTGGGGCGCCTGGCTTCGTGAGCGAGCTCGGGGGTGAGGGCGAGCTAGGCCTGGGAGGACCAGTGTCCCCACCTGTGCCCCCCGCGCTGCCCAACGCTGCAGTGTCCGTGCTAGAGGAGCCACAGAACCGAACCTTGGCCTACAGCCTGGAACATGCAGACCTGGGCGCCGGCTACTACCGCAAGTACTTCTTCGGCAAAGGTGAGGGGGAGGCAGGCCCGGGGAGACCGCAGCCTGCCAGGGAGGTGCTCGAGGGGGCCTGGGGGCAGAGGTCCTTGTCACCGCAGAGCACACAGTAGAGCTCCCTGTAAGGCCCTGATTATAGGAAGGGTCAGGAGCTGAGTCAGGACTCAGTGTCAGCCTCTGCCTCCCAGGCAAGGCAGCCCTGCTGGGCCAGCTTTAACTGCCTCAGGAAGGCCAACTCCTGGCATCCACCCACGTCCAGGGCTGCCCCTCTGCCTCTGTCAGAGTCATCCTCATACCCCTTCAAAGTGGGGGAAACTGTTGTTCCACACCATTGCCCAGAAGGGAGGGCTCAGGACCTCGGGGAGAAAAAGATATGGGTCTGGTGGGCGGGGCCAGGGCCAGATCTAGGCCTGGGAGCAGACCTCTAGGGTCTGGGGCCGCGGTAGGGCGGAACTACAGACGGGGTGGGACATAGGGCAAGGTTTATTGGCACAGGCCTGAGTCAGGGACTTGGGCCAGGTAGTGTGGGCGGGGCTTCAGTGGAGGAGGGCCTTAGTCCCAGGCGGGAGGGGGGCTTGTGATAGGCCTAATTGACCGGGGGCGGGGCTGCCGTGGGTGGGGGCAGGACCAATCGCCCACGGCCCCCCCTCCACCCACCACCCTTCCCCAGAACACCAGAATTTCTTTGGCCTGGACGAAGGGCTGGGCCCGGTGGCCGTTAGCCTGCGGCGGGAGGAGAAGGAGAGCAGCGGAGGGGGCACCGTGCACAGCTACCGCATCATCGTGCGGACCACGCAGGTGGGCTGGGATCAAAGGGATCTGGCCGCAAGTCACCTTCCCCACACCCCGTACGGAACCTGAGCGCCCTTGCACCCCTTCCTCAGCTCCGGACGCTCCGCGGCACCATCTCGGAGGAGGCACTGCCACCGGGGCCCCCACGGGGCCTGTCCCCGAGGAAACTTCTGGAGCACGTGGCGCCGCGGCTCAGCCCAACCTGCCTGCGCCTGGGCTCAGCCTCCCCCAAGGTGCCGCGCACGCTGCTCACGCTGGACGAGCAAGTGGTGAGTGGCCAGGGCGCCCCCTACAGCTAGACCTGGTCTGAACCAGCCGGTCCAGCTCCCAAGCGCCTAGCCCCTGACCTTGATCCTGGGCCCAGCGGCTAGCCTTTCAGACAGGACGTAAGAGGTCAAAGTAAGGCCTGTGGACCAGCAGCATCCACATCACCTGGGAGCTTGACAGAAATGCAGATTCTTAGGCCACACCCGAATGAATCAAGAGTCTGCGTGTTAAGCAGCCCCCAAGGTGATTCACATGCACATCACTATCTGAGAAGCACTGCTCTGACGCCCCTGCCCCTCCTCCAATCTCCTCATCATTCCTGCCAATTTGCACTCCAGCCCCTGCTTGGTCTCCTCCCAGTACGGGGTACTGGCTCCTTCTGGGGCTGCTTTTTCCACTGCTGGAACTGGAAGGCCTTCTCTAACCTGTGCTGAAAGCTGCCCACTGGCCTTGCTACTCCTCGGTGCCATTCAGTCCATCAGTCATTCAGCAAACTTTTCTCACGCCTTCTTGGTGCCAGGCCCCAAATGCTGGGGACATGTACAGACCAGGGACTGTCTTTGAGTAGCTCACAGTTGCTGGGAGTAACAGACTCACAAGCAGATCACTGAGATGCAGGAACAGGGTTGCAGAAGGAATTTGGTGAGGGCTCAGTCCTTGGCCAGGGGCTTAGCATCAAGGAGGAAATGCAAGTGTCTCAGGGAGGGCTGATGGTCAGGGCCACACATGAGGCAGCCCAGTCCCCAGGCCAGTGTCCTGTCCATTCCCCAAGGCAGTGTGTGTGTGGGGGGGGAGGGGGCGGGGGACTGAGGCCTGTGCCTTTTGCCTGCCCCACCCCCTTCAGCTGAGCTTCCAGCGCAAGGTGGGCATCCTGTACTGCCGGGCGGGCCAGGGCTCCGAGGAGGAGATGTACAACAACCAGGAGGCAGGGCCGCCCTTCATGCAGTTCCTCAACCTGCTGGGCGATGTGGTGCAGCTCAAAGGCTTCGAGAATTACCGTGCCCAGCTGGACACCAAAAGTGAGGCCCAGGGGCCTGGTTGGGGGGCAGACCCATGCTGAGGGGCGGGCCTCCTTGGGGAGAACTTTTTCACTCCTCTGTTCCCTGTTGTCCATGGGCTGGGGCAGAGGGCTTCTTTAGGCAGGCCTAGGATGTGGGCTGGGGGCTGCAGAAGGCCAAGCTGTGGGCTGGGAGGAGGGGCTGAGACTCCCCCAAGGGCCTGGTACCTCACTGCCTGAGCTGGGGCAGGGGGGATTTTGGGGTCCCATCCCCTCCAGCATATGCCACCAGCCTCACCTCCTCACCTTCTCTGCTGGAATGGCTCCAGGGCCCCTGGGAGGGGATTTGATCGAGCACGTCCTGCCTGCCTTCCCCTCCTCTGGTGCTCCACATGATTGCTCATGCCTGGGTCAACCATCTGGCCTCTCCCAGGACACTTGCCTAGCAGATCCCTCTTAGCAGATCATAGCTCATTTCTGCCTTCATTCTATCTCAGTGCCCCCATCCCTTTGCCTTGGTGTGGGGCTGGAGGCTGGGGGGAGTGGTGGCACCATCATGGGGGTATCCACCTATGGTCGGGAGGCCTTTGCCCTAGAGGTTGGGGGGACACAGGTTCCTGAGCATGGACCAGGATGGAGGTTCAGACCACTCAGATTCCCCTTGTTCTCCTCCTGTGCCTCCCTCCTGGCTGCAGCGGACTCCACCGGCACACATTCCCTCTACACCACATACCAGGACCATGAGATCATGTTCCACGTATCCACGATGCTGCCCTACACCCCCAATAACCAGCAGCAGGTATGAGAGGGATTGGGGGTGGCCAGGAACTTCTGGGCAGCCATGGTGGGGTGCTGCGTGGGTGGCAACATTTGAGCCCTGGCCTGAGCTCTGTTGACCCCCAACAACCCTCCCCATTGATGGCCCCCTCCCCAAAGACAAACCGCCAGGCCTTCACCAGGAGCAGGTGGGGAGGCAGGCCCCCCAGGCGCTGCCCTGCCTGAAGGAGGAGGCATTTGGCGGCAGACAGTCTCCCCTCATCCCCCACCATCTAACCCCCAGCTCCTGAGGAAGCGCCACATTGGCAACGACATTGTGACCATCGTGTTCCAGGAGCCAGGCAGCAAGCCCTTCTGCCCCACCACCATCCGCTCGCACTTCCAGCACGTGTTCCTGGTGGTGCAGGTGCATGCGCCCTGCACCCCACACACCTCCTACAGGTGCACATCCCAGGGGCCCCAGGTCTCCCATGGGCAGGCGGTCCGGGACCTTCCCTTCTGTCTCTGACTTCTGCCTCCCTCCCTGCAGGGTGGCCGTGAGCCGTACCCAGGATACCCCGGCCTTTGGGCCATCTCTGCCGGCTGGCGGAGGACCCTTCCCGGCCAACGCTGACTTCCGGGCCTTCCTGCTAGCCAAGGCGCTCAATGGGGAGCAGGCGGCGGGCCACGCACGCAAGTTTCACTCCATGGCCACGCGCACGCGCCAGCAGTACCTGCAGGACCTGGCCACCAACGAGGTGACCACGACGTCGCTGGACTCCGCCTCACGCTTCGGCCTGCCGTCGCTGGGCGGGAGGCGGCGGGCGCCCCCTCGGGGCCCAGGCGCTGAGCTGCAGGCGGCAGGCGCGCTGGTG